ACACAGCCATTAATGTCTAAACCGCTGGCCACGAAAGTGAGTACACCCCTAAGTGAAAATGTCCAAATTGGGCCCAAAGTGTCTGTTTTGTGTGGCCACCATTATTTTCCAGCACTGCCTTAACCCTCTTGGGCATGGAGTTCACCAGAGCTTCACAGGTTGCCACTGGAGTCCTCTTCCACTCCTCCATGACGACATCACGGAGCTGGTGGATGTTAGAGACCTTGCGCTCCTCCACCTTCCGTTTGAGGATGCCCCACAGATGCTCAATAGGGTTTAGGTCTGGAGACATGCTTGGCCAATCCATCACCTTTACCCTTAGCTTCTTTAGCAAGGCAGTGGTTGTCTTGGAGGTGTGTTTGGGGTCGTTATCATGTTGGAATACTGCCCTGCGGCCCAGTCTCCGAAGGGAGGGGATCATGCTCTGCTTCAGTATGTCACAGTATATGTTGGCATTCATGGTTCCCTCAATGAACTGTAGCTCCCCAGTGCCGGCAGCACTCATGCAGCCCCAGACCATGACACTCCCACCACCATGCTTGACTGTAGGTTTACAGCTTTCACTATTCTAGTGTGCGCAGCACTGACCTCATACGTCATCTGCCTGGAACTGCTTCCAGTGTACTACAGCGAGCGCAAGCTAGATTAAAGTGATTATTACGTTTTGAATATGGATATTTTTCTTACAAAAACGCATTGATTCGCTACAGAATGCCTTTGTTCTCTCTCCGGAGCCGTGTGAGTCACTTTTTTTTATGGATGGGTGCATTTTATTTAACTGCTTTTGGACTGATGCATGCAACACCCGCTGAGTGCCATGAAACAGCTTGAAAGATCAAGGACAATTTTTAATATAACTCCGACTGGATTCGTCTGAAAGAAGAAAGTCATGTACACCTGGGATGACTTGAGGGTGAGTAATTTATGGGCTAATTTTCATTTTTGGACGAACTAACCCTTTAAGATAGTAGGCTATCACAATTTTAAATGAAAACTTACTTTTGACAGAAACAGCCGTCTCGTGCTTTTTTTTTGCATTTACATTACAAGTAACCCTGCTGGTCATAAAAATAACTTGGTTTTCTATCTCCAGGAGTGCCATCGGTTACCATGTTTATCTAAAAGTTTAGAATGCTTTTCCTTGCTTTACCCATATAGCTAAAACTACTTTAATTAGCCTACATGCATTTATGGTGCAATTAATAAATTTCGTATCGATCCATGTACATTTTTAACGCGAGCAATGCCCTGTCACTTTAATTCAGCGTGTGCAGCACAGCAAAAATAAAATAGACTTGGTGCGGGAACGATCGCTGCGATGCTGCATATACGTACCGCTCGGAACCATAGCTCGGAACGCATCGAGTGAATGCTCAACAAAAGCAAATGCTCCAAAAAAAAAACACGCACTGCAAACGGAGTATGTGTGAAACAGGTGTGGAATAGTAAATTTAGTTTGTAATTATACATGCTTGTGTGACAGCTTTGTATAATTGATGTTTTGTTATGCAGTGTTAGCCTATGTTTAATGCAGTCAATAGCCTATAGGATACATTTGGTTTTCCATAGACTATTCAATCATTAAACTAAGCTTTAATCATTAAAAACTGACACATAATAAACCAGAATAAACAAATCAGTAAGTGTAGGCCTACAATCGTATGTATTTTTGTATTTAGGCCTTTTGTATTTATTTTTTAATATCAATGCTGTTTAAGATTATGGTTTTAGCGCCATCCCCTGACAATTATGTGATGAATTAATTAATGCGATAAAGCATGTCAACATATTCTGTTACACCAAATACACAAAATAATGATCTTTAAAAAAAGCATCGTATGAGCCCTTTAAAGAATACATTTTTTTAAAATTTAATTCTGAGAGAATATTCCCCCACGGCTGTTTTTCGTGACTTTTCCCTCTGTGAAATTAAGTGTCGGCAACAGCAACAATGGTGATAGCTCATTTAAAGGTAATGTCACCACTAAATTGGACTAATTTGGACAGTCACGCTAAATGGAGACTCCGATGGTGGGAGTCGGGAGTCGGGGTCGACTCTGAAAAACCTGGAACCGAACACCCCTAGAGTTTAGGGGTCGTCTGGTGCATACAGTATTTAAAACCTTGTATTCAAAACAAAATTTTCAGCTGCGACTGATAGAACAGCCACATCAATGACATAAGCACAATAATCTATTGAAATCCATAGAGAATTAAACTTCATATTGAGGTCATGACTTTTCATGATTTTTAACACAAAATAAAACATGTTGCTAAGCAGCAACTAGGCTACATTAGCATGAAGCTACTTACTCTTTTTCCTGCCTCAGCTTCAGCATGCACTTGGAGAGAATTTGAAGTAGTCTGCTTTGATATGACTCATGAATAGTCTAAATTCTGATACTGTGTAAAAATGTAAACAAATTTGCTGCGATTTGCCTTTCACACCAGAAACCTGCTGCATAGCCAACTTTCATTTTCACTTTAGCAACAGTAAATGACTCTGTGGTGGAACTAGATTTTTATACATGGGCTGGCCAAGGGTGCTACTTCAGGGATCCAGGCGTAGACCATGAAGAAAATCAATGTGTAACACTATCATAGCATTAAAAAACATGAATGAATCGTGATTACTGATGAAACCGAGCGAGGTATAGTGATTTAACCACAAGTTCAATATGGCAGATGGGTCACCGTGATTTTGCCAAGTAAGACATGTTCCTGGATCAACATCTTTTGTTCATCCTGGATCAACATTACCGTCCAAGAATACAGACTTAACCCAATCCCCACCCCTAAACCTAACCATACCCATAATTTATTCCTAAAATCAGAGGGAAATAATAGCTGATTAACAAGAGTGTAGAAGCACCTAATCCTGATTGTAAGCCTAAAACCGACATTTCCTGAAAAGTTATCTCTCAGTTCTGATTGGTTGATTGGAATGATGTTCCAGGATCAACAAGGATGTTGATCCAGGAACATGTTGTACTTGGTCAAATCACGCTCACCGTGGCAGTCGTGGTCCAGTTTTACTCATTAATAATGAGTAAAACTAGTTGTAATTTGTTTGTTTGTTCAAATTTTATGACTGACTGTTCTCTTGTCAGTTATAATGTTTGAACTTTATTAGTTAGGCTAGTAGTTTTTACTGTGGCATCAAAGAAGTAGCCTACTTGAAGAGGAGAAACAATAATCTACAGTATGTGGGAAATAATGTGTTTTTTAACCTTAAACTGCATAAACACATGTCATTACATCAAATACACAAAATAATGTTCTTTTTTTAGCAACATCAAGGCCTTTAAGATGCTTCTGAAGTGAACCATCAGCTTCAGTGCAGAGCAGGTAGACTGCAGGGCCTGCAGAGCAGTTGTGTTTGTGTAGGGTGCCACAAATATTTTAAGATTTTGAAAGGGCGCCATGACTGAAAAAGGTTGGGAAATGCTGCTTTAAATGACCTATTCAAAAAGTCATCAATTACTTGCTTCCTTTTGAACTAAACCAATTATTCAATGACTCATTAATTAAAACAGTGACTTGCCGCCAGTAGTTTTTTTTTTTTGTGGGTGTTTGGCTTAGTGTTATGTTAGAATCGTTATTATACTCATACCTTTTGTTCTTTACTATTTTGAATTGTTTTTAGATTTATGACATTTTGTTGTATGCATTTGTCATTTTTAAAATGTGTATAGGTAGTATACCCCGGAGTCCCCGGATGACCTGGGGGCAGGTTTTGCCCAGCTGGCTGGGTCTCCAGTTTTCCACATGGTAGCTGGTGCAATAGACGGATGCCACATCCGGATCAAGCCACCAGCAAGTGATGCCCCATGCTATTTTAATAGGAAGCTATTCCACTCTGTTCAGCTGCAGGCCATCACCGACCACAAGGAGAAGTTCCTCGATATCTTTGTTGGATATCCCGGGTCTGAAAAGCACAATATCAAGGAACATGGAAAAACATTAGCATGATCAAATCATGAACTAATAAAAATTTGAGGGTGAACTAATTAAAAAAAATAAATCTAACTTTATATTTTTGTTTTAGGTTCTGCCACTTTCTTTTGACTTGAGTGGCAGAAATTTTGCCCTCAAGTCCCTGCTCTGTCACAAAAGATCTGTCACAATAAATGCACAGAAATCAAGCATAAAAAGAAGGCAGTAAGACCTTTGCTTGAAGTATTAGTATTTACTACGTTCAGTGTCAACAGCACCTGAATAAAAGTAAATTTTTACATAACTTGTTAACTTACTCAAAACCTTTGATGGCAGCATTACGCTTTCCAGTGAAGGGCTTCATCAGCCACTCTCCACTGAATAAGCTGAGTGTGTTCATCAGTCCCTGTAATGTCGAAGCAGTAACCATTAGTCATTATCAAGCCATTAATGCTACATTGACAAGCTGTGGCATATTTATTAACAGTAGCTTAGTATGTAGCTAACAAAATATCAACTAAATATTAGTAAAAGAGGGGGGAAAAGTTTTAAAGTCCGTGGAATTTTCTAATCTCATTAAACTGCTTAACAACGACCGTCTCCGTTAAGAAAAGCAGTTAACAAGCTGATGTAAGTTACAACAGCATTGACACTAGCTCCAGCTGTTCGTTAACTTGATGCGCTCAGTAATAACAATGATTAAACATCTTTTTACAGCCGATTCACGAAATCATCTCATCGATTTACAATGTTTAAACTTTCAATAAGTCAGCCGTTCACTTAGATCATGTATCGTATGCATACTACGGAATTCGGGCGGAAGTAGTAGGTCATCCGGGTACTTCTCGCCTACTGTTTTTCGAATACTATGAATTCAGACATACTACTCGCCTCGCATACTGTTTTTCGCCTACTATATAGTATGTAAGTATGCGGTTTCCTGCTGTTCCCAGTGTTTGATGTACCCAAAGGGTGAGTAAATGGTGACTTAAAGGGTTAGTTCACCCAAAAATTAAAACTACCCCATGATTTACTCGCCCTCAAGGCATCCTAGGTGTATGACTATCTTCTTTCAGACGAATCCAGTCAGAGTTGTATTAAAAATGTCCTGGCTCTTCCAAGCTTTATAATGGCAGTGGGTGGGTGTTTCTGTTCAACAGTCCAAAAGAAGTGCAATAAAGTGCATCCGTCGATAATAAAACATTTCTCTAGCTTGCGTGGAAGCCCTTCCAGGCGGATGACGTAGGATGTCGGCGAAGTGCATTCGAAGACAAACAAATCATGAATTAGAAGAACAAAACAAGGATTTGTAAAGAGAAATGATGGAGGATTTCAGGATTTCAGCCAAGAGGAGACTAGTTTTCCTTTGCCAAAGTAAGGAAAATTTGCTTCCTTTGCTCCTGTAAACAAACGTTGGTTCTCGCGAAACTAGCATATTCTCACTGGAGCTGACACTACGTCAAAGTCCTACGTCATCTGCCCGGAATGGCTTGCGCACACGACAGTTAGCGCAAGCTAGAGGAAAGTATTTATAATGTTTTAAATATGGGTATTTTTCTTACAATTATTCCTTTATTCACCCCCTGTAGCCGCGTGAGGCACTGTTTATAATGGATGGATGCACTTTATTGGACTTTTTTTGGACTGTTGAACAGAAACACCCATCCACTGCCATTATAAAGCTCGGAAGTGCCAGGATAATGTTTAATAAAACTCTGATTGGATTAATCTGAAAGAAGAAAGTCATATACACCTAGGATGCCTTGAGGGTGAGTAAATCATGGGCTAATTTAAATTTTTGGGTGAACTAACCCTTAAAGGAAAAGCATTTAATTCACTGTAAATGTATTTTGCAAAGTCAGTCTTACTAGAAAATGGGTCTTCTAATGACAGAGACGAAGTCACAATTCCAAGTGCATACTGCTCTCTCTGCGTTGAGGTTGGACGACTCCTATCAAAATTAATGCACATAAATGGGACAGCACATTAAAAAAAAAAAAGGACAGTCAAACATATCAAACTTTTTTAGAAAGAGATCAGACTCTTTATTATTATTGTTTAAAAAAAATAAAAATGACAATCAATCATCTTAAAATATGCAATTGTGGCTTACCCTGTCTGCACCAAATGGAGAAAGGCAATCTTACTTTTTCCAAGTGCACAGAGAACATCTCTCGCTATTCAGGAAGATGGCTGAAGAAGCTACCAAACTGCTACCTATCACTAATCATTGTTATTCTGTCAAAACAACACCTTAGCTTTTAGTCGACCACATCTCAGCGGTTACACGTTGTATGTCACATCTATAAATGGTTCAAGACATTGTTGTCTATATTACGTATGTGTGCTCATCATTTCCCATTCGCTGTTTGTGTATCCATCTCTTTTGAGACTCCTGAAGGACATAATTAAACTATTTTTAGTCATGCATTTCAAAGTGATGAATCTAAAAACAAATTACAGCAGATAGGTCTGTGACATTCTCTGAGCCAACAAATGTAACTCTGACAGCAGTGTGCATGTCTATATGTACATTAGCCATTTGTAGCTTAATCTATTTATCTAGCCAGGGGTAAATTAATCCCAGTGCTTAACACCATGTGAGTTTGATGAATGAACACAACATGCACATTTATAAATACAATAATGCCTAATTCTAATTAACTAGTCTAGCACTATTCACTGTAGTGTGAACGAAGTCATCATATTGTGTTGCCAACGGTTTCCAGATGGTCCTAAATGGAAAGACAAAATGTGTCTTGGCAATATATTTGAACTCTCTTACTACTGAATAAATCTTGAGAATGCCTTTTGCCTAATATGCCTAATTTGTTGGAAAGCTGAACTGTCCCACTGTATTGCATTTCTGCACATTGTGCATATTGTCAGTGTTTTACATGTTACACTCCACTAGAAACTCACGTTCATTACTTTACATTATTTATGCTGTATATAAAGTATATTGTCACTCTTGTTGACACCACAAATGGAACCGTTTAGAACACTTTTATTCATACCCCACATACTGTACATAATGTGTGGGTCTATATTGTGAATTATTTATATATTGTGTGGCCATTCTGAATCTGCACATTGTGTTAAATATTCTCTTCTGTTAGATGCTCCAATTTTGTTGGGTGAAAAATCCTGCAATTTTCCAACCACCATACACATATGGTATTGCATGTATATGGTGTACTGTGATTAATTTGAGCACATTCTATGGAATACTGTACTCATACATGTTAATTGCTCATTTATATACTTAAACTTAAAAGTATCATATAATCTCAATTTAATTATTTTTAGTAGTGTAAATTAACTAGCTACAGCTAATTCAGTAAATGCTAACTTACTAATTGGTAAAACAATGCTTTGATTAGCATCACAACTGCTGAATGAGTAAGCCAGTAGAGAACATTATATCTGTTCTTGAACCAAGCTCATGCTCCACTCGTCACCATGATAGCAACCCCTAAAAATCCAAACAAAATCCTTTCTAAATCAGCATTGACAAACATTAAACACTACTAAATCTCTCACTACCATTAATCTTGCACAAAATAAAAAAGTGTCATGGCACAGCATGCTGCACTGGGGCACTCTTACAAAAGGTACTAATATGTACCAATTGGGTACTACCTATTAACATTTGAGGTAGCAACATGTATCTTAAAAGTATACACCTTTTCAGGGTAAATAAGGAACAATGGTGACAGCCTTTGTTTTTTTGTACCTCTGTGTGAGAAACATAAATCCCAGTCCAGTTTCAGTTCAATTAAAGTTAATCTAAATTAAAAGTGAGTTCATTAAACTCAAAACAATGAAATAAATTCAGAAAAGGAAAGCTAAAAACTTAAATAAATTTAATTTTGTCCTACTAAGTTCATTCATTATTTTGAATGTTTTACAGCGAAGTATATGCTGTAGGCAGGCCTATTTAATTCCAATCCCCCAAATATACAATAACTATTTTTTGAGCTCTTAAAAATGCACAGAAATGTTGCTGCCTATTACAGGTGTCAAATTAACTTATTTGATCATATTTCTAAGAGCAGATTCAAATCTGCAAGCAGTCTGAACGTTTGGCGCTTGTTTCATGATGTCGCTATAAAATGGATCTTTCTAATTAAGAAAAGTTCCTTCTCTTCTTTGAGTGTTTGTTACTCATTACAGCCTTTTATTCTTGGGTGCTGGGTGCAAAAAAACATTAATCAAAAACAAACTATGTGATAAGAAATTCTCAGTACATGCTCAGCATGTCTCTCTTTGCTAGAGAAAAATAAAGGGAAATCAGAAATGAGAGTTCAATATTTGTGTCCAATATTTTTTCCTGCTGTTTAAAGGAATAGTTCACCCAAAAATTTAAATTTTAACTCACCCTGTCGATGAGTTTGTTTCTTCATCAGAACAGATCTGCAGAAATTTAGCATTCCATCACTTGCTCACCAATGGATCCAATGGGTGCTGTCAGAATGAGAGGGCAAACAGCTGATAAAAATAGCATCATAATCCATAAGAATCCAGTCCATCAATTAATGTCAGATAATGATCATAGCTGTAGGCCTATATCTTAGTGTTACATACCAAACACTATTTTGTATAATTGTTTACCATACCACAGTACAAATAATAATCATAATTAAAGTAATTGTAAAATGAATAAATGGATCTACCAAAAATATCATTATAGATATATCAGTCTACATACAACATAATTGATGTCTTCTGATAATGATCATAGCTGTAGGCCTATATCTTAGTGTTACATACCAAACACTATTTTGTATAATTGTTTACCATACCACAGTACAAATAATAATCATAAAGTAATTGTAAAATGAATAAATGGATCTACCAAAAATATCATTATAGATATATCAGTCTACATACAACATAATTGATGTCTTCTAAAAAACTACTCACAAAGTAAGAAAAACTGTCCTTGAAAAATGTTGATGAATAGATCGACAGCTTATCTACACTTACCTGTCATGCAGCACTATACCTGTCATATTCACTAATATTGTTATTCACATGTTGCCAGTTAGTGTTTATAGAATTCCATTACAAATGAATTCCATTACAAAACTTGTTATACTTTTTTCTCAATTCAAGTCAAGTCGCCTTTATTTATATAGCACTTTTAACAATACAGATTGTGTCAAAGCAGCTTTACAGTATTAAATATAGGAAAATAGTGTGTCAATATTGCAAAAGGACAATAGTAAACACTCAATTTTCAGTTAAAACTAAGCAAGCCAGAGGTGACCAAAACTCCATTAGTGACAGAATGGAGAAAAAAACTCAAATTGTTAATGTTAACAACATCAGCATTGCTGATGATTAAGTTACGTGTATGTAGTGTGTAGCCTGTTAGCGTGTAGATTTCGATTTCTGTACAGTCTAATCTCTAATTGTCATACCATTCGAATTTCATATAAAGAAAATCTTTTAACCCAAAAAGCAAATGATTCTTCCTTAGAACTTGTTCAAATCTTGTGTATTCCCACACAGGCTATCTGCAATCCATATGCACATTTAAAACTGGAATA